GTGCACAGGTGGTCAGAAAGTTAGCTTTTGTATTTCAAAGATAATGGCACCCCATCCTGAGAATACTGTGGTGTTTTGGAATGCCTGCTCCCTTTTAAGAAAATGCAATTTCTACGCAATTTTTTCGCCATCGCACCACCGTTGATCGTGGGACTCTGTGAGACTTGGCTTACTGACGATCTTTCCTTCACGGTGCTGGGGTACTCGGTCTACAGACAAGATCGGCCTGTACAGGGGGGACTTGCCCTCTTGGTCAGGGACTCAGTTCCGAGCTCCTTGCTCCGGATTCACTCATTCCCGGGCGGGCATTTAGAGTTCATGGCAGTGAAGGTGGCCCTCTCCCATGGGTGGGGCACCTTTGGAGTCCTGTATAACCCCTGTCTACCGGTAACGAAGAAGGAACTAGAACACTATTTTGGTCAGATCACAGACACCCGCCTCGTCATGGGTGACATGGGCTCGTCACTCATCATCATGGCAACCTATGCTATCGGGTCGCCACCACAACATGGCTGGCCGAGCCCTGTTTCAGTTTCTCCTTGACTCCCCAGACCTCTCCTTACTGACGCCCCCAGGTTTGGGAACGCGGATAGACCTGCTCAATGGGCATACTTCAATGCTCGATCTTTGCATTGAAAGAGGCCCCTTCACGATGGCGCAGATATGGACCGGGCTGTACCTGGGTAGTGATCACCTGCCTATCGTCATCTCCTTCGGGGGCACTGTTCGTCCTGCCCTGACCTTCCGAAGATCCATATGGATATTCTTGGAAGAGGGGCGGCTTGGCTATGTGGTGTATGACTGGTCGACCCTTCCCCCAGTTACTGCAGATCTGCATGAGTCAGTGGATGCTCTCTCCGAGTCCCTCTTCAGTGTAAGCTCTCGGCATTTTAGGAGGACTAGTGGCCAGATCACGAATCTTTCCCGACGTGGGGCACCGTGGTGAACTCCTGCACGTCGCAGGCAGTACTGGACCGACGACGTGCGTGGAATTCGTGGCGGCGCACCCTACTCCATTGCAGCGGCAGACCTTCCGCAGGGCGGATGCCAGGTGTAGACGAACCATCCTCCTTGCCAAACGCAAGGCCTGGGCTGATTACTGTGCCTCTCTTCGATTTGACTCCTCCTCTGCGGGAGCCTGGGCCTTTATTAACAAGATGACAGGTAGGTACTCCCAGCCTTCCATCCCACTCAGAGACCCCAGTGGTAATGGGGGCCTGGGGGAAGTACAAATAGCCGAATTTTTGGCTGACCACTTTGAGGATGTTTACCGTTCCCCGTTACTTTCTGTGAGTTCTATAGGATGGGGCTTTCGACATGGTATAGAACTAGCTCAGGACCTGGATCGTCCATTTACATCCGTTAAGCTGAAGGACGCTCTGTCACTCTCTAGGTTGGGCACTATGCCAGGGATAAACAAAGTCCCATATGAATTTGTTTGGTGGGCACCCAAGATCCTTCAGTCCCACCTCCTTCACTTCTACAACGCCTGCTGATCCTCTGGTGTCTTCCCTGCCCCGTGGAAACACCCCATTCTTCTACCATTTGCCAAGTCAGGGAAGGATCCGTCAGTCCCGAGTTCATATCGGCCCATAAGTCTGCTTCCATGTCTCAGGAAACTGATGGAACGTCTTGTTCACACCCGGCTACAATGGGTGGTGAAAACCTCAGGTCGATGGACTGCCTCCTCTCCTTGGAACATCGAATAATGGACACTTATCGCCGAAGAAGAGTGCTCCTTGCAGCATTCTTCGACATCAAGATAGCATTTGACTGTACGTCTCATTCTGCTGTCCTTCAGAGTCTGGCTCAACTAGGTCTCTCAGGTCCGGCGTTGAGATGGTTCCAAAACTATCTACAGGGCCGCTCCTTCAAAGTGGCGGTTGGTGGAGTCGTCTCCACATCCTGCCCTGTCTCGCGTGGTGTCCCCCAGGGAGCGATTTTCAGCCCGCAGTTATTCTCTATTCTTCTGTCTGATCTCCCTGTATTCCGGGGGGTCCAGGTTTTAACCTATGCCGATGATGTAACCCTCGTGGCGGATGGTGCAACTCTCCTCGAGGCACAAGGCTTCCTGCAAAATGCCGTGACTGAGTTCTCAGCAATTGTGAGGGGGAAGGGGCTCTCCATTAACCCAGTGAAAAGTTGCGTCATGAGCTTCACCTGGATACGCTTGCCAGACCAGCCAGTGGTGACCGTCGGGGGCTGTCGTCTCCCAATTGCTACGGAACACAGGTGGCTGGGGGTCGTTCTAGATGGCCCTCGGCTGACATGGAGGCATCATGTGGCCTCATGCCTCATGCCTTCGTTGCGTGAATATCATGAAACGGCTCTCTGGTGCGACATGTGGGGCTTCACGGGAGTCGCTTCTACCTCTCTATAAGGTCTTCATTCGTAGCAAGGTCATGTATGTGAGTGAAGTTTATGACTCGGCAGCATCATCGGTCTTGGCAAGGCTGGATCCCATTCAAAATGGTCCCCTTTGCTCAGCGCTAGAAGCTATGTCCTCCTCGCCAGTTCTCTCTCTCTCCATGTAGAGTCGGGGCTATGGCCCCTGAGCTTTGAATGCCTTCTCACCCACTACCGCCAGTTTCAATGGATAGTGCGTCTCCCTGCTACCCATCCACTTATTCGCCTCCAGCTCGAGGCTAACTGGTAAAATGTGCCGGCTGGACACTCCACACGTAGTCAGTTGCCTTTCGTCGTCCGGGCCTTGGATGCATATTCACAATATTCACAGTTTTCCCTTCCCGTCCCTGTACTCACTCCAGGCCTGATCATCTCTCCGGTGCCTCCGTGGGCAGAAGAGCTCATTCGGGTTTCTGTGGACTTTTGCAAGCCTTCTCGTCGGAAGAGGGATTTAGAGGGTCTGGCCCCTTTAATTTTTGCAGACCTATGAGCCTCCTCATACTCTGGATACTTGGAGGTTTACACGGATGGGTCGCGCAAAGATCAGCCACCATCCACATCTGTGGTAGCATACTTTGCTCTTTTTTCCTTCTGTCAGACGTGGAAACTCTCCCCCTGCTCATTCGTGCCTGGACGGGGAACTGTTTGCAATCTTACTGGCCTTACGACTCCTTTGACAAGTTTCAGGGCCCTCTGCAGTCGTTTTCTACGTGGACTCAATTACAGCCCTACATCTGATATCATGTCGGCGTCCACGAGTCCATCGTCATACTGTGTCACAGATCCGTGGAGAAATGCTGTCATACTCTGGTACTCCGGGTTGGTCTATCTATCTCCAATGGGTTCCGTCACATGTCGGTATTAATGGCAATGAGGTGGCCAACGCAGCAGCAGGGATGGCGCATGCTCTCCATGATTCTACAAATGTGCCTCTAGACCTTTTCGAAATTCTCCCGCAACTCTGGGCGGTTTGCCTCGCGAGTTGGGAGGCAATGAATGAACCAGCACTCAGGTCCTTCTCTCTGGCGAGTCTCCGGGAGGACTCCTCCCCGCGTTCATGGGCTCGTCATCATTCTCGACTCCTCGACACTGCCATCACTTGTCTCCTAATTGGGCACACCAGCCTGGCTGCACATCTCCATCGTCTACGGCTGGTAGATTCTCCATACTGCCAGTGGTGTCCGACCCAGGAGGATACAGTGAAACACCTTCTTCACTGCCCTCGATATCATAGCGCTCGCGTCAGACTACAGAGTGCCGTTCGTAGGCTGAATATTTCCCGCCTCACAGTTCCGTTCTTCTTGACGGGGCAGGTGCGAGAGACGAAGACGTCCGTCATGACATCCTTCGCCATACCTTCTGCTTCATCCGTCATGTCCGCGGCCTGAAGAGACTGTAAAGTATCTGGCCTGAGGAGATTGTAGGGTCTGTGGCCTGAGGAGATTGTAGGGTCTGTGGCCTTAAGAGATTGTAGGGTCTGTGACCTGAGGAGATTGTAGGGTCTATGTGCCTGAGGAGATTGTAGGGTCTGTGGCCTGAGGAGACTGTAGGGTCTGTGGCCTTAAGAGATTGTAGGGTCTGTGACCTGAGGAGATTGTAGGGTCTATGTGCCTGAGGAGATTGTAGGGTCTGTGGCCTGAGGAGATTGTAGGGTCTGTGACCTGAGGAGACTGTAGGGTCTGTGGCCTGAGGAGATTGTAGGGTCTGTGACCTGAGGAGACTGTAGGGTCTATGTGCCTGAGGAGATTGTAGGGTCTGTGACCTGAGGAGATTGTAGGGTCTATGTGCCTGAGGAGATTGTAGGGTCTGTGGCCTGAGGAGACTGTAGGGTCTGTGGCCTGAGGAGACTGTAGGGTCTGTGGCCTTAAGAGATTGTAGGGTCTGTGACCTGAGGAGATTGTAGGGTCTATGTGCCTGAGGAGATTGTAGGGTCTGTGGCCTGAGGAGATTGTAGGGTCTGTGACCTGAGGAGACTGTAGGGTCTGTGGCCTGAGGAGATTGTAGGGTCTGTGACCTGAGGAGACTGTAGGGTCTATGTGCCTGAGGAGATTGTAGGGTCTGTGACCTGAGGAGATTGTAGGGTCTATGTGCCTGAGGAGATTGTAGGGTCTGTGGCCTGAGGAGACTGTAGGGTCTGTGGCCTGAGGAGACTGTAGGGTCTGTGGCCTGAGGAGACTGTAGGGTCTGTGGCCTGAGGAGACTGTAGGGTCTGTGGCTTAGGAGACTGTAGGGTCTGTGGCCTGAGGAGACTGTAGGGTCTGTGGCCTGAGGAGACTGTAGGGTCTGTGGCCTGAGGAGACTGTAGGGTCTGTGGCCTGAGGAGACTGTAGGGTCTGTGGCCTGAGGAGACTGTAGGGTCTGTGGCCTGAGGAGATTGTAGGGTCTGTGGCCTTAAGAGACTATAGGGATTATAATTAATTTTTTAAAAATAATTTAAATAAACAAATAAATAATTTATTATATAAAATTATTTTTTATTATTTATTTTATTATTATATAAAATTTATTATATAAAATTTAAATAAATAAAAAAATAAATAAATAAATTTTAAATAAACAACGAAATTAGAAAGTAGTAAGGGGAGGTGAGCGTGATGGCGTCTGGTGGAGGTTCACGCAGCGTCTCTCCTACAAATATTGACGATACCTTTGAGGACACTGGGGAACCACTGTTGCATACCTCACATTTAGATCATGAACGTCTACCGGTCTTAGAAGAGGATCTAGATGGAGATTTCCTAGACAGCAAACATCACAGCAAGGCAAACAGATTGGAGGCGAAGCGCCGCCAACTTACAGAGGTAAACAGAGACCATGCCGGCACCACGCGGCCTCAGTATCAACCTCCACAGCTCAACCAAGGTAGGCTAAGTTCTTCTGATTTCCAAACTTTCATCATTGCCTTTGATGGCGAAGAGGAAAATGTGTTCAGAAATAGCCGAGCACAAAGTATCTTATATAATGCCATTCCCAAGATATTCGGGATCGATGTGCACGATATGAGACCAAATAAACAGAAAAACCTGATCGCAGTGGACCACAAACATGGCGAAGAACTAAAGCTCTCAGACATTACTGACATCTGTGGCCACAAAGTCAAGTGCTACAGACCACTAGGGGACCGATTAACAAAATATGTAATCCGACATGTGGTAGACATCAGTGTAGACGACATCAAAGCACAACTTCAGACACATGACATCCCGATCCATGGAATCAAAAAATTTATGCGAAGAACAAACGGAGAACTGAGTGATACAGGCACAGCTCTGCTTACCTTTCTAGACTACATTCCCCCGGAGAGGATTTGGTTAAACGGCTTCCTCCATAAACTAGAGGTGTATATACCGCGTCCCACTCAGTGTTTTAAATGTAAAGGTTTTAACCATACCTGGAAAGGCTGCACCAAAGACATTAAATGTGGGAAATGCTCTGGTTCCCATTACACGCAAGATTGTACATCAGATACACTTACCTGCTCAAACTGTGGTGGCGATCACGACATTACATTCAAACAATGTCCTTCATACATAGCAGCACAAGCAAAAACTAAGGTTCTCCCTACCAACAACCTGCTATACAGTAGTGCACTGAAACAACCTAACACAGCCCATCATCAAACACTACCTCACACTCAAACACAGCCTTTGCTTGTACCTGATATATCTGTCACCGACACTCCCACAACCCTAGGGTCCAACCATCCCTCACAAAATGCACAACTGAATCCTGATCTTGTTGAAACTCTTGTCACTCGCATTGAAAATGATCTTGTTCAAACTTTTGTTACACGCATCGAAAATGTACTAGAAAAGACGCTGGACCGACTTCTAACTAAATTCTTTACACAAGTAACACAACCCACCCCTGAGGCTGACCCAAAAGACATCCCATCAACAGCTACAGACACTGACATCCGCCCAAACAAAGCCACCATTGCTGGACACACATTGTTTGAACAGATGATAGAAAAACTCATAAATAACTCCCTAGCACGCCTTACCAAAATCATTCCACAGGCTGACTTGCCACAAACCCAAACCGCCAGTACGAAGAGTAAGGCACAGCCCACATCCACATCTAGGTATCCAACACGTACTACTACTGGCATGCCAAGGAAAACAGACACATCCATAACCCACACATCCTAAATGGCTCCCCTAACCTTCATGACTTGGAACGCAAAAAGCATTAAAACATCTCTCACAGAACTTAAACAATTCCTTTACTCATCCAAACCGGACTTAGCTTTCATAACCAAATCCTGGCTCATTTCCAAACAAAATTCTATTTTTAAAAACTTTCAGATGCAGAGACTGGACAGACCAAACCGTATGGGTGGTGGTATTTTCCTCCTAACACGGAGTAATATGACATGTAAACCTGTAATATTTACACATTTTGTGAACGGTAAACTAGAAATTTTAGCATGCCTAATACCCTACAATGGTACACACATATCCTTTCTGGGTATATACAACCCTGGTGGCACAATCAATTTAAATGAACTGGAATTCTATCTAAACCAACTACGGCAACCGATCATTGTTACAGGTGATCTCGGTGCCAACCACCCCACATGGAGTAGAGGCGCCCAGAACACTGCAGGCACCGATCTATATAACTACTGAGACACTACACCATATATTCTTCTTTCGCCGCCCTACCTTGCAACCTACTTTAACAACAGAACCAATTATGAAGCCTCACTGGACATCTGCTTTGGCTCTGCACACTTTCAACATGAACTACAGTTTCATACTGGACCAGATAATGGTAGTGACCACAAACCCCTCATTATAAAATTTACTAACTTTCAGCCACCAACCCACCCCCTAACGCTCCCCAAGTGGAACATTAAGAAACTAGATTAGAAAAAATGGGCTGATACTGTCTGTCTCCCAGATACAGACGATGTAGACCCAAACACGCGACTGTCCACAATCATTTCAGCCATAAATTCTGCAGCCACCCAAATGCTCAAGAAAACTTCAGGACATAGGTCCAACAAACCACTTAAACCGTGGTGGAACGTGGAATGTGCACGAACAGTCGCCTTACGCCGACGAGCCATACAAAAAACAAAGACGTCAACCCTCCCTACAGAACTGGGTTAATCTCCGGCGGGCTACAGCAGAAGCCCAAAAAACCATACTGTCAGCAAAGCGAGCATCATGGGCAAAATTTTGAGATAGCCTCACACCCACTACGCCACATTCAAAAGTCTGGGCTACATTTAACAGCATTAAAGGTCGCCCAACATTCCCTTCGTTCCCCCTGATGATCAACGGTTCACTCTGTTGAACACCTCAGGAGCGTGCAAATGTTTTTGCTGAATGTCTTAAGTTATCCTCTCAATACCCTTCCTTTATGCCCAAGAACTCCCCCTCAGACAAGAAATTGACCGTGCCATACTGCTACCCATGCTCGGCGTCGACAACATGTACACCTTAAGCGAGCTACAATTAGCCTTAACCCGCCTATCTCTTGGCAAGGCACCTGGAGAGGATGGAATTCCATATGAACTCATTAAATATCTTCCATCGACTGCACATAGTACTCTTCTAAACTATTACAACCTATGCTGGACTTACGGAAATATTCCCATACAATGGCAGACCAGTATTATTCTTCCTTTCCTTAAACCAGGAAAAGACCCATCCCAACCTGCGTCATACAGACCTATTTCCATACTATCATGCCTCAGTAAAGTCATGGAAAGGCTAGTACATACTTGCCTCCAATGGTATCTAGAATATAATAATATTATACCGTCACTCCAAGCTGGATTTCGACCGCAATGCTCCACACTCGATCAAATACTCTGCCTTGAACATGAAATCCGCACCTCTCTCAGAAGCAGCAAATTTTGTATTGTTCTCTACTTAGACCTCAAAGAAGCTTTTGATAGCATTCCTCTTACTTGCCTCCTCGCAAAGCTTGCGCGTTTAGGCGTACAGGGAAGATTACTTTTATGGTTACAGTCCTATCTTACGAACAGGACCTCAAAAGTCTATATACAAGGCGAGTTTTCCGATGGCATCCCAATACAAACGGGTGTTCCCCAAGGCTCCATACTAAGCCCAACCCTTTTTGCTGCATTCTTAGCAGATTTGCCTAACAACCATCCTGTTCACCTCTCGGCGTACGCCGACGACTTAACACTGTATTATTCAGACAACGCCTTACCTAATACAGTCTCAACAATGCAAACAGCACTTGACCACCTCATAGATTGGACACAACAATGGGGCCTTCAAGTTAGTACTACCAAAACCTATTATCAAATTTTCACTAAAAAAATACTTGCTCATCTACCCACCCTCACAATACACAACACTCCCATCCAACACGTACGAGAACATAAATACCTTGGCATGCACTTAGACTCGCCCTCACTTACCTGGAAAGCACACATTCAACACCTTAAATAGAGACACAACCCCGACTCGCCATACTGAAAGCCCTCACTGGCACCACCTGGGGAGCACACCATAAAATCTTGCTCCGTTTCTATACAACCTACATTCGCAGCCAACTAAACTATTGTTGCCAAGCATATGCGTCGGCTGCGCCTACTAATCTACAGAGCATAGAGGTTATCCAAAACAATGCCATGCGACTTATATGTGGCGCAATGCGTTCCACTCCTATCCTCAGACTTTACGGGGAAACGGGAATCACAAGCCTAGCCACCAGACGAGACATAATGTGTGTCAACTATCTGTCACTCTGTACCACTGCTCACCAGACACACCCATACAGATCAAACATTAACCCAACAGTTAACCCACATAACCCCCGCTCCCCAACCAATCACTCGCAACTTTCTCACACGGGCTACAAATAACCTCAATATAGACCTCTCTCTACTCCAAAACTCGGAAACCCAACTTACTGTTCCCCCTATTCCACCTTGGCTCTATACTTTTCCTAATACAGCAATACAACTCGAAGACAACATTCCAAAGTCTGCACCAAACTCAGCCATAGCCTCAGTCTTTGTCTCAACAATGAAAAATTGCTACCCAAATACCACAGCGATTTTTACATATGGATCTCGCATCATCATGAACAATGTACCCTCGGTCACTAGCGCTGTATGCATACCGGAATACCACCTCAAGCAGGGATGGTGGTTATCAAACCAACTATCTGTTTTCACAGCTGAATTTTATGCCTTATATCAAGCTCTCCAATTAATCACAACATTACCAATCGGGACATATACAATCTGCAGTGACTCCAAGAGTGCGATTCAAGCAATTACGTACTCTTCAACAACGTGTAAGGAGTTTGTTTACCCATGCGTTCAACTTTTTCATGAACGTCGATTGAACGGTTATGATACCTCTATCCAATGGGTCCCAGCGCATTGTGGTATTCTCCATAATGAACTTGTAGATCAACTAGCCAAAGCAATGCACACCACACCTCACATTACCCATCATCCAATTCCTCATGTTGCACGTAAAGGAGCCTTCAAAAATACCATCACCCAAGATTTTGCGACGAAATGGTAAACGTAATGCTCACCTTTGTACTATGGGTTCATTAAAAGGAAATGGGAAACTTGGAAACATGTCAGATATAAAAACAGAGAAATTCATATAGCGATGACCAGATTAAGGTTGGGACACACCAAACTGGCAGCACACAGCTCTAAGTACAGAACAGACATCAACGAGCTCTGCATCCACTGTCAGGTGCCTGAAGCAATCGAACACTATCTCCTTCACTGCTTCCGACACTATAGTGCCAGAGTAAATTTCAAACAAGTACTTATCTCACTTAAAATACCCTTTACCATCGAGCATATATTAGGAGGCGGTGACCACTCGTTACAAGAAAAATGCCAAATAGTCAAAGCACTGGCTAAATATCTCCAGTCGACCAACAAATTGGGTCATATCTGACCTACGCTACATTTATACCTGGCGCCACCAACAGCTAAACACAGAAAACAAATGCCTCGTCGCAGCACCAAGGATCAGCTGACGCCATAAACACAACACACTGCCCTACGGTGCGGTAAGTCACCCTCTAACATACACCTCTGTTTTAGTCGCCGCTCCTCTGTCTACAGCACAATGCAAGACGCACTTTTGAAACTCTTATCATCCTCAACATAAACGCTTCTACCAACATCTGTACTGGTGCAGTCATCGGGAGGACAAACCCTTCATGCAAACTGCACCTACTATCAAGAAGAAGACTAAAGGGACCCCATCCCTCCGCTATTTCCCGGTATCGGGCAACCGGGGCGCATTCAATCCCACGATCGCCATCGCCCCTAAATCATAACAACAACAACACACACTCCTGGTTCAACCCTGATGCTGAGCGGACGTCTGGACACCTCCTCCGCTTGGGAGCCGCCGGATCACGTTTCGTTTTACGATTTGGCTTTGATATTGCCGTTTGGCACTCCTCTTCAATGGTCTGGTTGTATGGCGCCTGGCGCACATATCGCCTTGGGTCACCGGGTTGATGATAGATTTTATTTTGACGTGTTTTGGCTGGTTCTCCCGGCGGGGTGACGGTGTCCAGCGCCGGCTTCGCCGAGAGTTGCTGGGAGTTGGTGGGCTCCTGGTGTGCCCTCAGCCGTGGTGGGCTCCTGGTGTGCCCTCAGACGTGGTGGGCTCCTAATGTGCCCTCAGCCGTGGTGGACTCCTTGTGTGCCCTTAGCCGTGGTGGGCTCCTGATGTGTCCTCAGCCGTGGTGGACTAAAGGGACCCCATCCCTCCGATATTTCCCGGTATCGGGCAGCCGGGGCGCATCCGATCCCACGATTGTCATTGCCCCTAAATCAACACAACAACAACACACACTCCTGGTTTGACCCTGATGCTGAGCGGACGTCTAGACACCTCCTCCGCTTGGGAGCCGCCAGATCATGATTCGTTTTACGATTTGGCTTTGATATTGCCGTTTGGCACTCCTCTTCAATGGTCTGGTTGTATGGCGCCTGGCGCACATATCGCCTTGGGTCACCGGTTTGATGATAGATTTTATTTTGACGTGTTTTGGCTGGTTCTCCCGGCGGGGTGACTGTGTCCGGCGACGGCTTCGCCAAGAGTTGCCGGGAGTTGGTGGGCTCCTGGTGTGCCCTCAGACGTGCTGAGCTCCTGGTGTGCCCTCAGACGTGGTGGGCTCCTGGTGTGCCCTCAGACGTGGTGGGCTCCTGGTGTGCCCTCAGCCGTGGTGGGCTCCTGGTGTGCCCTCAGCCGTGGTGGGCTCCTGGTGTGCCCTCAGCCGTGGTGGGCTCCTGGTGTGCCCTCAGCCATGGTGGGCTCCTGGTGTGCCCTCAGCCGTGGTGGGCTCCTGGTGTGCCCTCAGCCGTGATGGGCTCCTGGTGTGCCCTCGGCCGTGGTGGACTCATATGTTGGCCAACCTGGCATACGCCGCTGATGTTATCCTATTGATATGGGCTTCAGGGGACTCGTCTGGCATGATATCAACCCTCAAGTCGTTCTTTCTCTCTGATTCTTGACTCTCTGACTGACCACGTGCAATGGGGCTGCGACGCCACAGCAGCGACACCACAGATTCCCTCACACACAGTAAGTTCCTATTCACACTTTATTAATGGTCTGATGCCTAGAAGCGTTTCACAAGAACACTTCATACATTTTCAAAGACAATTTTACATACTCAGATCATGCTTATATTCGTTTTAGGGTGAGGTGATAGGATACAAATGTTTTTTGGGTGAGGTAACAGGAGACAAATCAATGGGAAAAGATAGAACATGAAACAATGGGTATATTGCGTGTTTTATCTTCTTGCTTCTGTGTTGGTTTGGGGTCTTGAAATGGGTAGAATGTAATTATGTGTTAATTCACTGTTGATTTCTGGTTTTGATTTTTTGATGTGTAAGGCCTCGCTGATGTCGAGTCTCCTGTTATCGTTGTATCTGTCGATAATTTCTGTGTTGCTTGGTAAGATTTCTCTGGTGATGGTCTGGTTGTGTGAAGAGATTATATGCTCCTTGATGGAGCCCCTGTTGTTTGTGCATTGTTAATCACCTAGAAAGAGACCTTGTTGGCTTGCCTATATACTGTGATCTTTGGGGCTGACAGTCCCCAAGTGGGCATGTGAAGGCATAGACGACGTTGGTTTCCTTCAAGGCGTTCTGTTTGGTGTCTGGTGACACCAAACAGGTTGTCATGAGCAGGACAACCTTCTCAACCTGTCATGAGCAGGACAACCTGCTCAACCTTCATGAGCAGGTTGGCCGTTTTCTTGTTTTTGTAGTAAATTGTTAATTGTATCTTCTGATTTATATTTGTGGGATAACGTTCCTATTAATATCTTTCAGGACACTTTCCTCCATTTTGTGAGGCATCGAAAAGAAGTTCCTGTAAAACAGCCTAATAGGGGGTACAAGTGTTGTGTTAGTTGACTCTTCAGAGGTTGCATGGAGTTTCACCTTTCGTTGATGACGTCGTCAACATAACCGTTAGAGAAGCTATTGTTGACTAGGACCAGCCTTTCTCTACAGAGTTCTTTGTCGACCTCCGGCTTTCAATCAGAGCTGTTAGTGAGAGCTCGGTCGACGTATGCATTGACAACACTCCTCTTGTACCTGTCTGGGCTGTCACTGTTGGCATTAAGGCACATCCCTATGTTCGTTTCCTTACTGTAAACTGCCGTGTGGAAGCCACCATTCCTTTCCGTGACTGATACATCAAGAGATACATCCCATCATTCTCCGTCTCGTAAGTGAAATTTAACACCAAATTTTGCTCGAATGCCTCCTTCAGTTCCTGCAGACGTCTGACATCAGGTACCTGCATAAAAATGTCGTCAACATACCTGCAGTATATGGCGGGTTTCAAGTCCATGTTAACTAAGACCCTCTGCTCGATGGTGCCCATGTAGAAGTTCGCAAACAGGGCACCTAGGGGAGATCCCATGGCGACCCCATCTACTTGCTTATACATGTCCCCCATCAGGACTAAAGAAGGATGCCTCTTTTGTGCAGGCTTCGATTATTTTTTTCAGTATGTTCTCTAGTATGGTCAAGCGGCTAAGGAACCAGGTTCGCCAAGGTGCACTGTGCTCCTGGCTGTCTGGGTTCGAATCCTTCTGAGGAGTAGTGTTTTCAGTTGCATATTTTGCCAATAGATGGCGCTAAAAACGACAGTTTTTCTATTTGATCTAAAAATAGAAAAAACATTGCCAATAGATTGTGCAGTTTTTCTAAAAAAAAGCATGTTTTTACCTGTCACATGTGAGACATGTATATAGTAGGTATATAAAATCACGCGCATATTCGAATGTAACGTTGTGCTAAAATTTCAAAGCAATCGGTAAAGAGGTTTCGAAGATTTCCTTCACATGAAAAACACAGATTTAAAAAAAGCGTGTTTATTCCCGTCACAGATTTGACGTCTATATCGTACTTATATAAAACCTGCTCAGGTGTGAATGGAGCGTTGTGTGACAATGTCAAAGCAGTCGGTGAAAAACGTTCGGAGATTAGCGATATTGAACAAATGAACAATTACATGTTTACCTGTTGGGCCAACGTAGAATGTATTACAAATTTTGCGATGAACTTTTCACACACAACCATTACAGTTTAGAGTCTTCCATCAGAGTTTTTATGATATTTGCATTCCTAAATGCTACATTGATATGAAATTGTTTATTCAGAAATTTAATTTCATTCAATGGCAGAAATTCGAAATTCCTTATATTGCATTCTAGTCTTTTTCAAACTAAATAAAATATTATGAACAATTTGATTGGAATATTAAATAATGACGGAGGTTATTTTACAATGAAGAAGTCACGATGTAGAGAACAGATCTCGGCAGCCAGCCATATATTCAGGCTATAATAGACATTCAGCACACCCTAATCTGCAACATTTACCACACCCTAATCTGCAACATTTACCACACCCTAATCTGCAACATTTACCACACCATTATCTGCAACATTTACCACACCATTATCTGCAACATTTACCACACCATTATCTGCAACATTTACCACACCATTATCTGCAACATTTACCACACCCTAATCTGCAACATTTACCACACCCTAATCTGCAACATTTACCACACCCTAATCTGCAACATTTACCACACCCTAATCTGCAACATTTACCACACCCTAATCTGCAACATTTACCACACCATTATCTGCAACATTTACCACACCCTAATCTGCAACATTTACCACACCCTAATCTGCAACATTTACCACACCCTAATCTGCAACATTTACCACACCCTAATCTGCAACATTTACCACACCCTAATCTGCAACATTTACCACACCCTAATCTGCAACATTTACCACACCCTAATCTGCAACATTTACCACACCCTAATCTGCAACATTTACCACACCATTATCTGCAACATTTACCACACCCTAATCTGCAACATTTACCACACCATTATCTGCAACATTTACCACACCCTAATCTGCAACATTTACCACACCCTAATCTGCAACATTTACCACACCCTAATCTGCAACATTTACCACACCCTAATCTGCAACATTTACCACACCATTATCTGCAACATTTACCACACCATTATCTGCAACATTTACCACACCCTAATCTGCAACATTTACCACACCTTAATCTGCAACATTTACCACACCCTAATCTGCAACATTTACCACACCCTAATCTGCAACATTTACCACACCATTATCTGCAACATTTACCACACCCTAATCTGCAACATTTACCACACCATTATCTGCAACATTTACCACACCCTAATCTGCAACATTTACCACACCCTAATCTGCAACATTTACCACACCCTAATCTGCAACATTTACCACACCCTAATCTGCAACATTTACCACACCATTATCTGCAACATTTACCACACCATTATCTGCAACATTTACCACACCCTAATCTGCAACATTTACCACACCCTAATCTGCAACATTTACCACACCCTAATCTGCAACATTTACCACACCCTAATCTGCAACATTTACCACACCATTATCTGCAACATTTACCACACCCTAATCTGCAACATTTACCACACCATTATCTGCAACATTTACCACACCCTAATCTGCAACATTTACCACACCCTAATCTGCAACATTTACCACACCCTAATCTGCAACATTTACCACACCCTAATCTGCAACATTTACCACACCCTAATCTGCAACATTTACCACACCATTATCTGCAACATTTACCACACCCTAATCTGCAACATTTACCACACCCTAATCTGCAACATTTACCACACCCTAATCTGCAACATTTACCACACCCTAATCTGCAACATTTACCACACCCTAATCTGCAACATTTACCACACCCTAATCTGCAACATTTACCACACCCTAATCTGCAACATTTACCACACCCTAATCTGCAACATTTACCACACCATTATCTGCAACATTTACCACACCCTAATCTGCAACATTTACCACACCCTAATCTGCAACATTTACCACACCCTAATCTGCAACATTTACCACACCCTAATCTGCAACATTTACCACACCATTATCTGCAACATTTACCACACCATTATCTGCAACATTTACCACACCATTATCTGCAACATTTACCACACCATTATCTGCAACATTTACCACACCCTAATCTGCAACATTTACCACACCCTAATCTGCAACATTTACCACACCCTAATCTGCAACATTTACCACACCCTAATCTGCAACATTTACCACACCCTAATCTGCAACATTTACCACACCCTAATCTGCAACATTTACCACACCCTAATCTGCAACATTTACCACACCCTAATCTGCAACATTTACCACACCCTAATCTGCAACATTTACCACACCCTAATCTGCAACATTTACCACACCCTTATCTGCAACATTTACCACACCCTAATCTGCAACATTTACCACACCCTAATCTGCAACATTTACCACACCCTAATCTGCAACATTTACCACACCATTATCTGCAACATTACCACACCCTAATCTGCAACATTTACCACACCCTAATCTGCAACATTTACCACACCATTATCTGCAACATTTACCACACCCTAATCTGCAACATTTACCACACCCTAATCTGCAACATTTACCACACCCTAATCTGCAACATTTACCACAAGGACACAAACAACAAGAACACAAACAACAAAGACACAAACAACAAGGACACAAACAACAAGAACACAAACAACAAGAACACAAACAACAAGAACACAAACAACAAAGACACAAACAACAAGAAAACATACAACAAGGACACAAACAACAAGAACACAAACAACAAGGACACAAACAACAAAGACACAAACAACAAGGACACAAACAACAAAGACACAAACAACAAGAACACAAACAACAAGGACACAAACAACAAAGACACAAACAACAAGGACACAAACAACAAAGACACAAACAACAAGAACACAAACAACAAGGACACAAACAACAAGAACACAAACAACAAGGACACAAACAACAAGGACACAAACAACAAGGACACAAACAACAAAGACACAAACAACAAGGACACAAACAACAAGGACACAAACAACAAGAACACAAACAACAAAGACACAAACAACAAGAACACAAACAACAAGGACACAAACAACAAGAACACAAACAACAAGGACACAAACAACAAGGACACAAACAACAAGGACACAAACAACAAGAACACAAACAACAAAGACACAAACAACAAGAACACAAACAACAAGGACACAAACAACAAGAACACAAACAACAAGGACACAAACAACAAGAACACAAACAACAAGAACACAAACAACAAGGACACAAACAACAAGAACACAAACAACAAGGACACAAACAACAAGAACACAAACAACAAAGACACAAACAACAAGAACACAAACAACAAGGATACAAACAACAAGGACACAAACAACAAAGACACAAACAACAAGGACACAAACAACAAGAACACAAACAACAAGAACACAAACAACAAGGACACAAACAACAAGGACACAAACAACAAGGACACAAACAACAAGGACACAAACAACAAGAACACAAACAACAAAGACACAAACAACAAGAACACAAACAACAAGAACACAAACAACAAGGACACAAACAACAAGAACACAAACAACAAGGACACAAACAACAAGGACACAAACAACAAAGACACAAACAACAAGAACACAAACAACAAGGATACAAACAACAAGGACACAAACAACAAGGACACAAACAACAAGGACACAAACAACAAGAACACAAACAACAAAGACACAAACAACAAGAACACAAACAACAAGGACACAAACAACAAGGACACAAACAACAAGAACACAAACAACAAAGACACAAACAACAAGAACACAAACAACAAGGACACAAACAACAAGGACACAAACAACAAGGACACAAACAACAAGGACACAAACAACAAGGACACAAACAACAAGGACACAAACAACAAGAACACAAACAACAAGGACACAAACAACAAGGACACAAACTACCAGAGGCCTGCTGGGCTGGGCCACCCCTCACACCCTCACAAGCAGGCAGCCAGAGGCCTGCTGGGCTGGGCCACCCCTCACACCCTCACAAGCAGGCAGCCAGAGGCCTGCTGGGCTGGGCCACCCCTCACACCCTCACAAGCAGGCAGCCAGAGGCCTGCTGGGCTGGGCCACCCCTCACAACCTCACAAGCAGGCAGCCAGAGGCCTGCTGGGCTGGGCCACCCCTCACACCCTCACAAGCAGGCAGCCAGAGGCCTGCTGGGCTGGGCCACCCCTCACACCCTCACAAGCAGGCAGCCAGAGGCCTGCTGGGCTGGGCCACCCCTCACACCCTCACAAGCAGGCAGCCAGAGGCCTGCTGGGCTGGGCCACCCCTCACACCCTCACAAGCAGGCAGCCAGAGGCCTGCTGGGCTGGGCCACCCCACACCCTCACAGGCAGCCAGAGGCCTGCTGGGCTGGGCCACCCCTCACAGCAGGCAGCCAGAGGCCTGCTGGGCTGGGCCACCCCTCACACCCTCACAAGCAGGCAGCCAGAGGCCTGCTGGGCTGGGCCACCCCTCACACCCTCACAAGCAGGCAGCCAGAGGCCTGCTGGGCTGGGCAGCACCCCTCACAACCTCACAAGCAGGCAGCCAGAGGCCTGCTGGGCTGGGTCACCCCTCACACCCTCACAAGCAGGCAGCAGAGGCCTGCTGGGCTGGGCCTCACAACCTCACAAGCAGGCAGCACCTGCTGGGCTGGGTCTCACAACCTCACAAGCAGGCAGCCAGAGGCCTGCTGGGCTGGGTCACCCCTCACACCCTCACAAGCAGGCAGCCAGAGGCCTGCTGGGCTGGGTCACCCCTCACAACCTCACAAGCAGGCAGCCAGAGGCCTGCTGGGCTGGGTCACCCCTCACACCCTCACAAGCAGGCAGCCAGAGGCCTGCTGGGCTGGGCCACCCCTCACACCCTCACAAGCAGGCAGCCAGAGGCCTGCTGGGCTGGGCCACCCCTCACAAGCAGGCCTCACACAGCAGGCAGCCAGAGGCCTGCTGGGCTGGGCCACCCCTCACAACCTCACAAGCAGGCAGCCAGATGCCTGCTGGGCTGGGCCACCCCTCACAACCTCACAAGCAGGCAGCCAGAGGCCTGCTGGGCTGGGCCACCCCTCACAACCTCACAAGCAGGCAGCCAGAGGCCTGCACCCTCACACCCTCACAAGCAGGCAGCCAGAGGCCTGCTGGGCTGGGCCACCCCTCACAGCAGGCAGCCAGAGGCCTGCTGGGCTGGGCCACCCCTCACAACCTCACAAGCAGGCAGCCAGAGGCCTGCTGGGCTGGGCCACCCCTCACAACCTCACAAGCAGGCAGCCAGAGGCCTGCTGGGCTGGGCCACCCCTCACAACCTCACAAGCAGGCAGCCAGAGGCCTGCTGGGCTGGGTCACCCCTCACACCCTCACAAGCAGGCAGCCAGAGGCCTGCTGGGCTGGGCCACCCCTCACAACCTCACAAGCAGGCAGCCAGAGGCCTGCTGGGCTGGGCCACCCCTCACAACCTCACAAGCAGGCAGCCAGAGGCCTGCTGGGCTGGGCTGCAGGCAGCCAGAGGCCTGCTGGGCTGGGCCACCCCTCACACCCTCACAAGCAGGCAGCCAGAGGCCTGCTGGGCTGGGCCACCCCTCACACCCTCACAAGCAGGCAGCAGAGGCCTGCTGGGCTGGGCCACCCCTCACACCCTCACAAGCAGGCAGCCAGAGGCCTGCTGGGCTGGGTCACCCCTCACACCCTCACAAGCAGGCAGCCAGAGGCCTGCTGGGCTGGGCCACCCCTCACACCCTCACAAGCAGGCAGCCAGAGGCCTGCTGGGCTGGGCCACCCCTCACAACCTCACAAGCAGGCAGCCAGAGGCCTGCTGGGCTGGGTCACCCCTCACACCCTCACAAGCAGGCAGCCAGAGGCCTGCTGGGCTGGGTCACCCCTCACACCCTCACAAGCAGGCAGCCAGAGGCCTGCTGGGCTGGGTCACCCCTCACACCCTCACAAGCAGGCAGCCAGAGGCCTGCTGGGCTGGGCCACCCCTCACACCCTCACAAGCAGGGCCTCCCTCATAGCCCAACAGCTCCATTGATCACCTCTGACCTGTTCTCAGCCAATAACGTAATTGCTTGTAAATAGTAAATAGTCTGTTTCTTTAATGACAGGATCGCCCCATTAACGTGTTAACTGCCTCCATTATGGGATAGGTCCTGTTGATATTAAGGGAGGGAGGGAGGGAGGGAGAGAGAGATGGGGGAGGGAGAGAGGGAGGGAGGGAGAGAGGAGGGAGTGAGGGAGGGAGGAAGGGAGGTAGGGAGGGAGGGAGGGAGGGAGAGAGGGAGGGAGGGAGGGAGGGAGGGAGGGAGGGAGGGAGGGAGGGAGGGAGGGAGGAGGGAGGGAGGGGGAGGGAGGGAGGGAGGGAGGGAGGAAGGGAGGGAGGGAGGGAGGGAGGGAGGGGGGAGGGAGGGAGGGAGGGAGGGAGGGAGGGGAGGGAGGGAGGGAGGGAGGGAGGGAGGGAGGGAGGGAGGGAGGGAGGGAGGGAGGGAGGGAGGGAGGGAGGGAGGGAGGGAGGGAGGGAGGGAGGGAGGGAGGGAGGGAGGGAGGGAGGGAGGGAGGGAGGGAGGGAGGGAGGGAGGGAGGGAGGGAGGGAGGGAGGGAGGGAGGGAGGGAGGGAGGGATGGAGGGAGGGAGGGAGGGAGGAGAGGGAGGGAGGGAGGGAGGGAGGGAGGGAGGGAGGGAGGGAGGGAGGGAGGGAGGGAGGGAGGGAGGGAGGGGAGGGAGGGAGGGAGGGAGGGAGGGAGGGAGGAGGGAGGGAGGGAGGGAGGGAGGGAGGGAGGGAGGGAGGGAGGGAGGGAGGGAGGGAGGGAGGGAGGGAGGGAGGGAGGGAGGGAGGAGGGAGGGAGGGATAGGGAGGGAGGGAGGGGGGAGGGGGAGGGAGGGAGGGACACGTGGCATACCAGCATAGTCTGCAACAGTCAACACACAGACACGTGGCATACCAGCATAGTTTGCAACAGTCAACACACAGACACGTGGCATACCAGCATAGTCTGCAACAGTCAACACACAGACACGAGGCATACCAGCATAGTCTGCAACAGTCAACACACAGACACGTGGCATACCAGCATAGTCTGCAACAGTCAACACACAGACACGTGGCATACCAGCATAGTCTGCAACAGTCAACACACAGACACGTGGCATACCAGCATAGTCTGCAACAGTCAACACACAGACACGTGGCATACCAGCATAGTCTGCAACAGTCAACACACAGACACGTGGCATACCAGCATAGTCTGCAACAGTCAACACACAGACACGTGGCATACCAGCATAGTCTGCAACAGTCAACACACAGACACGTGGCATACCAGCATAGTCTGCAACAGTCAACACACAGACACGTGGCATACCAGCATAGTCTGCAACAGTCAACACACAGACACGTGGCATACCAGCATAGTCTGCAACAGTCAACACACAGACACGTGGCATACCAGCATAGTCTGCAACAGTCAACACACAGACACGTGGCATACCAGCATAGTCTGCAACAGTCAACACACAGACACGTGGCATACCAGCATAGTCTGCAACAGTCAACACACAGACACGTGGCATACCAGCATAGTCTGCAACAGTCAACACACAGACACGTGGCATACCAGCATAGTCTGCAACAGTCAACACACAGACACGTGGCATACCAGCATAGTCTGCAACAGTCAACACACAGACACGTGGCATACCAGCATAGTCTGCAACAGTCAACACACAGACACGTGGCATACCAGCATAGTCTGCAACAGTCAACACACAGACACGTGGCATACCAGCATAGTCTGCAACAGTCAACACACAGACACGTGGCATACCAGCATAGTCTGCAACAGTCAACACACAGACACGTGGCATACCAGCATAGTCTGCAACAGTCAACACACAGACACGTGGCATACCAGCATAGTCTGCAACAGTCAACACACAGACACGTGGCATACCAGCATAGTCTGCAACAGTCAACACACAGACACGTGGCATACCAGCATAGTCTGCAACAGTCAACACACAGACACGTGGCATACCAGCATAGTCTGCAACAGTCAACACACAGACACGTGGCATACCAGCATAGTCTGCAACAGTCAACACACAGACACGTGGCATACCAGCATAGTCTGCAACAGTCAACACACAGACACGTGGCATACCAGCATAGTCTGCAACAGTCAACACACAGACACGTGGCATACCAGCATAGTCTGCAACAGTCAACACACAGACACGTGGCATACCAGCATAGTCTGCAACAGTCAACACACAGACACGTGGCATACCAGCATAGTCTGCAACAGTCAACACACAGACACGTGGCATACCAGCATAGTCTGCAACAGTCAACACACAGACACGTGGCATACCAGCATAGTCTGCAACAGTCAACACACAGACACGTGGCATACCAGCATAGTCTGCAACAGTCAACACACAGACACGTGGCATACCAGCATAGTCTGCAACAGTCAACACACAGACACGTGGCATACCAGCATAGTCTGCAACAGTCAACACACAGACACGTGGCATACCAGCATAGTCTGCAACAGTCAACACACAGACACGTGGCATACCAGCATAGTCTGCAACAGTCAACACACAGACACGTGGCATACCAGCATAGTCTGCAACAGTCAACACACAGACACGTGGCATACCAGCATAGTCTGCAACAGTCAACACACAGACACGTGGCATACCAGCATAGTCTGCAACAGTCAACACACAGACACGTGGCATACCATAGTCTGCAACAGTCAGACACGTGGCATACCAGCATAGTCTGCAACAGTCAACACACAGACACGTGGCATACCAGCATAGTCTGCAACAGTCAACACACAGACACGTGGCATACCAGCATAGTCTGCAACAGTCAACACACAGACACGTGGCATACCAGCATAGTCTGCAACAGTCAACACACAGACACGTGGCATACCAGCATAGTCTGCAACAGTCAACACACAGACACGTGGCATACCAGCATAGTCTGCAACAGTCAACACACAGACACGTGGCATACCAGCATAGTCTGCAACAGTCAACACACAGACACGTGGCATACCAGCATAGTCTGCAACAGTCAACACACAGACACGTGGCATACCAGCATAGTCTGCAACAGTCAACACACAGACACGTGGCATACCAGCATAGTCTGCAACAGTCAACACACAGACACGTGGCATACCAGCATAGTCTGCAACAGTCAACACACAGACACGTGGCATACCAGCATAGTCTGCAACAGTCAACACACAGACACGTGGCATACCAGCATAGTCTGCAACAGTCAACACACAGACACGTGGCATACCAGCATAGTCTGCAACAGTCAACACACAGACACGTGGCATACCAGCATAGTCTGCAACAGTCAACACACAGACACGTGGCATACCAGCATAGTCTGCAACAGTCAACACACAGACACGTGGCATACCAGCATAGTCTGCAACAGTCAACACACAGACACGTGGCATACCAGCATAGTCTGCAACAGTCAACACACAGACACGTGGCATACCAGCATAGTCTGCAACAGTCAACACACAGACACGTGGCATACCAGCATAGTCTGCAACAGTCAACACACAGACACGTGGCATACCAGCATAGTCTGCAACAGTCAACACACAGACACGTGGCATACCAGCATAGTCTGCAACAGTCAACACACAGACACGTGGCATACCAGCATAGTCTGCAACAGTCAACACACAGACACGTGGCATACCAGCATAGTCTGCAACAGTCAACACACAGACACGTGGCATACCAGCATAGTCTGCAACAGTCAACACACAGACACGTGGCATACCAGCATAGTCTGCAACAGTCAACACACAGACACGTGGCATACCAGCATAGTCTGCAACAGTCAACACACAGACACGTGGCATACCAGCATAGTCTGCAACAGTCAACACACAGACACGTGGCATACCAGCATAGTCTGCAACAGTCAACACACAGACACGTGGCATACCAGCATAGTCTGCAACAGTCAACACACAGACACGTGGCATACCAGCATAGTCTGCAACAGTCAACACACAGACACGTGGCATACCAGCATAGTCTGCAACAGTCAACACACAGACACGTGGCATACCAGCATAGTCTGCAACAGTCAACACACAGACACGTGGCATACCAGCATAGTCTGCAACAGTCAACACACAGACACGTGGCATACCAGCATAGTCTGCAACAGTCAACACACAGACACGTGGCATACCAGCATAGTCTGCAACAGTCAACACACAGACACGTGGCATACCAGCATAGTCTGCAACAGTCAACACACAGACACGTGGCATACCAGCATAGTCTGCAACAGTCAACACACAGACACGTGGCATACCAGCATAGTCTGCAACAGTCAACACACAGACACGTGGCATACCAGCATAGTCTGCAACAGTCAACACACAGACACGTGGCATACCAGCATAGTCTGCAACAGTCAACACACAGACACGTGGCATACCAGCATAGTCTGCAACAGTCAACACACAGACACGTGGCATACCAGCATAGTCTGCAACAGTCAACACACAGACACGTGGCATACCAGCATAGTCTGCAACAGTCAACACACAGACACGTGACATACCAGCATAGTCTGCAACAGTCAACACACAGACACGTGGCATACCAGCATAGTCTGCAACAGTCAACACACAGACACGTGGCATACCAGCATAGTCTGCAACAGTCAACACACAGACACGTGGCATACCTGCATAGTCTGCAACAGTCAACAGACAGACACGTGGCATACCAGCATAGTCTGCAACAGTCAACACACAGACACGTGGCATACCAGCATAGTCTGCAACAGTCAACACACAGACACGTGGCATACCTGCATAGTCTGCAACAGTCAACAGACAGACACGTGGCATACCTGCATAGTCTGCAACAGTCAACAGACAGACGAGACACATTTCACATGAATATTTACTAACATAATGCCAACAATAACTGTTAAATAAACAATAATAAATCTCTCCAGGAAATTAATTAGCACACATAAGCTTATTTTAAACATAATAAAACACGAAACTATGGATATAAATTGGATACGTTTATATTCAGGAGAGACCTGGGTAAATACTGGTTTAGGAAAGACCTGGGTAAATATTGGTTCAGTAACAGGGGTCGTGGATTTGTGGTACCAATTATCACGTAACATAATAGAAGTAGGATCCATTGATTGTTTCAAGCTTAGGTTAGACATATATATTAATGAGTTTGTGTGGATATAAATTGGAGCTGCCTCATATGGGTCAGTAGGCCTTCTGCTGTTTGCTTGATTACTATGTTCTGATGTTCTTCTGTTCTTATGTACCTGCGCGCCGCTCTAACTCTCGTCTCTACTGGGAAGTTATGCTAACATATTGAATATGTAATAAATATTAGTATTAACTTGTATAACAATCCTTCTTAAATGAATAATATATAACAGGAATTAAATCCCTCTCAAATGAATAATATATAACATTAATGAAATCAACATCTTAATTCATAGTCACTTATGACAAGTGAATACTCAAGAAATATAAATATATATAAAACTACTGAAAATGAATGTTTCATTCTGAATAAATAATAATAATAATAAAATGTAGTTTAAGTGCTCCGGAGCGCTACGAGGGTGTTTATAACAACAATAACCTCGGGTTGTGAAGTGTCATGCTCGTAAACTGTTTAATACAGAGTTAAGCCGTTATCATCCGGGGAAGATGGATAGGTTTCATAATTGGGCTCCTAACTGCTTGTCCCATCCTGGTCCAGTTCGACAATGAAACACGCAGTGACCAAATCACTTAAAATTCTATATAAATAATCTAAACAAGTAATTATATAAGTTGGTCTTAGCATTCTTTAAGAACCCTGGAGAACATGACAAAAGCCCACAAACATTCTTTAGGAATCCTGGCATAGATTTAAGAACAAAGGCTCAAACATTTCATGTTTACATTCGTTAAGGACCTCGGAGAATACCTCGTCTCCCCTGGGGGAGGGAAGAATGAGGGGGGAGAGGAGTGAGGGAGAAAGAGAGGAAAAGGACAAGGTGAGAGAGAAGAGTATGAGGGGAGGTAAGAAAGTGGGAAAAGTTGTGTGAGAGTCGGCAATTACCGGTGATTGAGAGGGGAGAGACGGAAAGAGGGAGGGAGCGATAGGATGGAGGGAGGAAGAGGTAGGATGGATGGAGGGAAACAGAGAGAAGACAGGGCCATTGAAAAATAAGGCAGATGAGGTCACTGAAAACGACAAAGAAATGTGCTATTTTTAATAACTACTTGGTCTCTAGATATGCTTGATGATAACTAAATAGTGTGCTTACAGGTGGGATACTGGTTTAGGAAAGACCTGGATAAATAATGGTTTAGCAAAGAAAATCTATCTAGGTAGTAAAATGGACAGTTTGACTAGTTTAGTCGTTACTAGAGAAGAAGTTGTTAAGCAAACATTACCACACCAAACAAGTCCCCAAGGCCAGATGAAGTGTTTGCCAGAGTGCTTAAAGAATGTAAAGAAAAGCTTAATGAGCCCTCGTATTGCATATGCACTAAATCACTAGAGTCGAACAGAATACCGGAGTCATGGAGGGTTGCTAATGTGGTGCCGGCATTTGCAAAGGAGAATAGATCGCGCGTAGCATCGTGCGTAGTGAACTGTCTTCCAATTACGTGAACGGTTTCTACTAGTTTTAACTTTGCCATCATTCTCTGTGTGCATTCAAGTGTTTTTTCTCCATTCAATAGTAAATAAATTAAAACTGAACTACATAATCTAAACTGTCCCTAACAAGGAGCAAACAAAATAAACAATTTGTAAAATATTAAATATGTTATTGAATAATATAGGTAAGTCCAGGCAGGTGAGTCCAGCTTGGTGAGTAGGAGAGAGAAAACTCACCAGAGATCAAAGTAAGAGGTGAAACTGGTCGATGCTTCGCGTGACGCCTGAGGCACGATGCATGACTGGGGTTGCCACACACAGTTTGTTACGTACCCTTATAAGATACGTAAGTGAATATATTAATATGTACATTTATAATTGTATGTAAATTACAAGCATGTATATTGTATACTTATGTTCTATGCAAATGCACATTCATGTTACAGTGTTGGCGTTAGGCCCAGCGTATCGTGGGAATGATTGTTTATTTCTTTGTGTGATCAGTTTTCCCACGGGAACTAATGATTTATATGTGATCATAAGTGGGTAACAGAGTGAAATAATAATTGAGTGAACTGTATCTGGCAAATTGTCGTGGGATCGTCCGTTGCTGGGTGTGCATGCCATTATTTCTTTCTGTATGCATATTTTAATTACTATGTAAAGAAACAATTGCTTTGTTTGTCTATATCAATATGTACTAATTATTCATTAAGTTAGTTTAAGATTACTCTTGTCACAATGTAGTGCTCCATTGTTGAAATAATAAATATTGTAACTTTGGCAATTTATTCGCGGGGCAAGGCAATGTGTTTTTTGACTCGCATATTGTAGTTCAGTAGCTGAGCAGAAACCAGGGAGATATCATCTTGGAGTTAAGTCATTCTTTTGTTCTAGCCATATAATTATTCTTAGTATTGATTTAATGTCTGGAAGTTACGGTGATATTTTTAATGTGATATATATTGTGACCATATAATCATCTGTTTGCCTTTGAGATTTATTTAATATAATATATATATCTATACTTAGTATCTTTATTCTTCAGTCCTATGAAGATTCTATTTTGTGCTCATTACCCATTAAGGGGTTATACTGGTGATTCGCTATTGAGAACAGCAGTTGTGTCGTATCCCTAGACTTATTAAAGTTTGGCTGCTGTAGGATCACGAGCCGTAACGTACGATAGGTAACAAAGAGTTATGGGGGCCTGTGCCGGGAAATATTGTCCCATTTTTAACTTAACTATGCTAATCTAACCTTGCCTTCCTAGGTACCAGTGTGTCAAGTGTCTCTGTGTGTTTCTTAAGAACTATTCCATGTGCCAAGCAAGCCTTCCTGTGTGTCAAGTAACAACGTTTCACGATTTTGAGGTAAGTCATCCTATATATTTTGTTTGTGCAGTGAGGCCAAGCGAATTTTCAGTGTGGTGACAATTTTACAGTGAAGTGTAGTGCAGTGCCATTGTGTTAATTAATTTTGTGAATCAAGTGCCAAGTGTTAGTAACGATGGAGGAGAAAGTTGCAGCGTTGGTGGCTCACCCAGACTTTGAAGGGATTCAGAACCTTAAAAAGACTGAGTTAATACAAATGGCAAATCATTTGGATTTGACCGCCAGCAATAGAATGGTTAAAGCCCAAATATTGAAAGTCATTGTGACGCATTTTGTTGAGAATGGGGATTTAGAGGAAGAAATTCTAGAAGAGTTAAGAGAGGAGTCGAGTGATCAGATGACGTTAAAGCGTCTTGAGTTAGAAGCGCAAATAGCCAATGCTAAGCTTGAAGCTCAAAGGGAACAGAAAATATTAGAGGCTGAAGCTCGTCAAAGAGAGATTGAAGCTCAACAGCAACAGCAAATATTAGAGGCTGAAGCTCAGCAAAGGGAGCTGGAGACTAGGCGTTTAGAAATTGCGGCACAAAACCAGAGAGGTTTAATTGAGTTGCAACTTGAAGCCACAAAGAAGCAACAATTAGAGATTCAACAACAAATGGCTGACACTAACTTCAGGCTTGAATCACAGCGTATGGCAGCTGGGCATGGAAATACTAGTAATGTTTCAACAAATAGTGATAATAATCCCATCAGGATGAATAAGTATATAGAGTTGCCCAAGTTCAATGAGGAAGATCCTGAGGTTTTCTTTGCACATTTTAATAAAATTGCCATCAGTATGAACTGGCCAAGGGATCAGTGGGTAGCCATTATGCAGTCTCAATTCAAGGGGCGTAGTCAGGAGGTTTTCACATCCCTACCTGACGCTCATAGTTTTGATTATGACTTTGTAAAGAAAAGCATCCTCAATGCATACCAGCTAAATCCAGAGGCACACAGGCAAAAGTTCAGGAACCTAAGGAGAATCAAGGATCAAACAATAGCAGATTTTACTCGTCAGAAGACGAATTTTTGCAACAGATGGTTAAAGTCACTTGCAGTCACTGATTTTGATGCTCTAAAGAATCTTCTCATAATGGAAGAAGTATTGTCCTGTCTTCCAGACCAGTTGTCTACTTTTATGGCAGAACAAAAGAATGTAACCGATATTGATGAGCTGTCAAAGCTCGCGGATGAGCATGAGTTGCTGACTAAGGCCCCGTTTATGGCCACTTCACCTAAGTCTAGTCGTAGAGTAAATTTCAATGCTCACCGTACTCCTTATCAGTATAAGTCTCCTCCTGGTGCGACAGTTACTCCCGTGAACTCTTCTCTTACTAACCCTAAGATGGTTACTCCATTGCCAGGATCATCTAAGCCTAGTAATGCTAATTCTAAACCGGCAGTTGGTTCTACCAGTGTGTCCACTGTCAAACATTGTACCCATTGTAAGAGAAGGGGGCATGTGATTTCTTCATGTTTTAGTTTGCATCCTGAACTCCGACCAACTGGTCTTATTATGAGTAAAGGAGTGCAACCTATTAATTCTTCATGTATTACAGTCAGTCCCAATTGGATGGCTGAATTCAAACCCTATATGTCCACAGGTACCTTATTATGTACTAATGGTAGACATAAGACTGTTCAATTACTCCGTGATACTGGAGCTTCACAGTCTCTTATTACCCAGAAGGTACTTGATGATGTTGACACCCGAGATCTGGGTGAAGTTGTGCTTCTCCAGGGTATTGCCGGAAGTGTGCAACCAGTGTCCTTATTGCAAGTTAACCTTGATTCTAAATATACTTCAGGATGGTGTAATGTTGGTGTAAGTAAACAACTGCCCATTCCTGGGGTAGACATTATTCTAGGTAATGATTTTGGCAACCAAATGGTTGTAGGGCCCAAGTGTCCCATCATGTTAACTAAACCCCATAATGTATTAGCTCAACCGGAAGCAGATGATGATATTATTTACCCTGCTTGTGTTGTTACTAGATCAATGGGAAAAACAGGTGAGAGTAATCCTGTCTTCACTGAGGTTGCTGATCCCAAGACCAGGACCCCTTCAGTAAAGGAGTGGGAGGTGGATCTTGAGGATTCTTTTATGACTCGACTGGATGATGAGAGTGAGGCCGTAGTAGAAGCCCCGCCGAACCTAAATCACAAGGAAAGTGAAGGTGAGGAGGCTGAACTATCTGTACCTTGCCCGCTTGTCTCCAGTGCGCCAGTTGTCGAGAGTGAGGCCGAAGTAGCTATGACTCCATTTTATTCTGATCAATCGGGAAAAGAGATCAAGCTACTAGGTTCTTGCCCGCTCGCTGCTGAGTCTGAGTCATTGCCCTTAAGTGTTGTACAGACTACTGATCCTAGTTTAAGTAAGTGTATTTCTGAGGCTCCTGATAATATTGATGCATTGGAGGAAGGGACGGGTTTCTTCTTCAAGGATCGACTTCTGATGAGAAGGTGGAGACCCAAGGGAACTCCCTCTTCAGAGGATTGTGAGATTAGAACCCAACTCGTTGTCCCCAATGATTATCGTAGGCAGGTCCTGCAGGCTGCACATGATGATCCCATGGGAGGTCATCAAGGTATCACGAATATGTACCATAAGATAAGTAAATATTTTTTCTGGCCAAAGTTAAAGAAAGACGTGGTCAGATATTGTCATAACTGTATACCCTGTCAAATTGTTGGTAAACCAAATCAATCTGTACCTAGAGCACCATTGCAACCTATTGTAGTTCCTGATGAACCATTTACTCATGTTGTAATTGATTGTGTGGGTCCTTTACCTAAGACTAAATCGGGTAACATGTTTTTGTTCACTCTCATGTGTATGACTACTAGATTTCCTGAAGCTTATGCTCTACGGAATACCAAGGCTCATAATCTCATCAAGTGTCTTGAAAGATTCTTTTCGTTGTTTGGAATGCCTAGAGTTATTCAGAGTGATAATGGGGGAAATTTTGTTTCTAAAGTTTTCAGAACTTTTTGCGAATCCCGAGGGATTCGGCACAAATTGTCCAGTCCATATCATCCCCAAAGCCAAGGTGGACTTGAACGTTTCCACCAGACTTTGAAACAAATGCTGAAGACAACCGGAGAAACTCATCCACGTAATTGGGATGAGAATCTCCCCTTTGTGTTGTTTGCTGCTAGAGAAGGGCTACAAGAGTCATTGGGCTGTTCACCCTTTGAACTAGTGTTTGGTCACCAAGTAAGAGGTCCTCTTAAAATGCTACAAGAAAAGTTGTTGGGAGATGTCTCTGTTCATCAGAGCGGATTGTACTTGAGTGAGGTCAAGGCTAAGTTGTGTCGGGCTCGTGAGTTGGCGAAAGAACATCTGGGAAGGACTCAACAAGCCATGAAAGTACGATATGACAAGAAGTTCAAAGCTAAGCTAAGGTCGTTTGATGTCGGAGATTTGGTGTTGGTGTTGAAACCTCGTATGGGGACTTCCATGTCCCATAAGTTCGCAGGACCCTACCAAGTGGTAGACAAGGTGGGAGACCTAACTTATAAA